CTCATCACCTCCTCTGGGTTCTTTTGCTTTACAGAGGTAGATTCTGAAGATGGGCAGGCAGGGATAGAGAAGAGGAAAAAAAAAAACAAGTGATAACAACAAAAGAACCCTTACCTCAAAATCCCCAAGAACACACAACAGGCTCCCAGGTGCGCAGATTTTTCCTGCGATATGTTCTCACCACCAATCTGTTTTAAAGTTTGTTTTGTCTCTGAGATCACAGAGGAGCCCTCTGCGCCAGGCAGGGAGGAGCTGAGAATCCAGAATTCAAGGGCAAAGGCATGTGCCTCTATCCTCTCCGCAGCAGCCCTGCTCCCCGGGATCAGAGGTGGGAAACAGGCCCGCTTGTCAGCCCACTCCTGTCCTCCCGGCCCTCCAGGAAGGAGGGGGGCCTGGGTCTCCCCTAGTGAAAATAGTGGTTTCCCAGAACCTGGCAGTTAACTGTGCACATGACCCTGTAGCTAACAAAATTTAGTCATGACAACTTGCAAACTGTCATCAGTCTCAAAATAGTACCAGCCAGATTTCATTCAAGAGTCTCCAGACAGCACACTACTCACTAGTGCCTCAAGATGGGCAAAAAGGCCCTAGATGCTGGTGAAAGGTAAGCTCAGGATTCCAGAACCTTCTTCCTTCCTTCCTCCACACACCTGGGCTTTGCCTGCCCTTCTACTCAGTGCCACCCCCAAAATGGACCCTGTGAATCCTGCTTAACTAGGAGAGAGGTAGATCAACTCGAGTTAACACTGACAGTCATCCAGACTTATTTAGAGCTTACTTCAGGCCAGGCGCAAGTCCAAGTGCTTTACATGTATTGTCTCATGTAATCCCCATTGTAACCCTATAGTTTTGCCATTTTACAGGTGGGGAAACTGAGGCACAAAGAGGTGAAGTTATTTGCTCAAGAGTACCCAGCTTATTAGCGCCAGAAGTAGAATTTGGAACTGACAACCTACCTCCAGAGACCATGCCCTTAATACTGCCTCTTTCAACTTGGAATAGCTTCAAGGATGGAGGTGAATCAGGGCATAGAGAATCCAAAAAAGAGGAAAATCCACAATTCTTGTGCATTCAAAATGCCTAACATGGTGTTTTGTGACAATTTTTCCTTTCTAATAATGATTTGCTAAAGTTAATATCAGTTTTGTCTGCATGTTCTCAACCCACCTCAGCCAGTGAGTGGAGGGTCAGCAGCACTCAGGAGAATGGGTCATACTGAGGGTCTAAGCAACTGCAGATCACAGGGGTGGCCGCTCATCAGCCTGAGTGGATGCACACAAGAGCATTCCCAGGAAGGCCAGAGAAGAGGCCCATCTTCTAAACTCATCCCCAGAGGCTGGGAATTTGAAAGGGGAAAACCCACTAAATCTGCAGGATTTAAGGATGTCAAGGGAAAGCCTCCTCACCCCCAAAACACCATACCGTCTGAGTGATCAGCCCTGCTTGACTCTGGGGAGTTGGACATTAAGAGGTTTGGTTAACCATTTCAGGGAGGGCAAGGAAAACCCTTTCCCTAACCTTGATTTCTACTCTACCATTTGGGACCTGATCACCAGGGAAAGAAGGAGTGACAGGTATAACCTGGCTCTAGGTCAAACTGATCTCCTAAGAGAAAAAGCCTATGATTTTTTCCCACCCTCCTTCTTCCATTACACCCCCAAAATCTGTATTACCTGTGGTTTCCAGCAAATGAGGAGGTAGGCAAAAACAGGTTTTGTGTGTGTGTATGTGAGAGAGAGGGAGAGAGCACTAAGCTCTTACACTCCAGAGAGTGCAGGGGAAAAAATATTCCTCCAGGCCCTGCCCACTTAAGGATTTGGCCAGGTGTCTAAATGGAGATCACCTTGTTTCTGGGGGTGGGTGTGGATGGGGTGGGAAGAAGGACCGTTGAGAGTGGGAGGAGGAGGTGGATGGAGGAAAAAGCTGAAAGCTGGATCTGAAACCGTCTTCATGGTCCAGCTTAGAGAATTGATGGGCTTGTGGGACAGAGGAGCGGGGAAGGTGGGAGGACGGGTTGGAGTAAAAATCTGCCTCTTAAAGGGATCCTGTCACCCGCCCCCTTTGGCATGCTCCCTCACCCCTGCATTCTAGCTATGTGTAGATCTCCTCAAGCACAGTCCAATAAGGCAACTGATTGGGTATCTGCAGCCAGTGGAGGCCCTGGCACTGGGTCTCCCAGGTAGCTTGCCTGGATCAAAAGTCTCAGCCACACAGCCTGGTGAGGGCAAGGGCGAGGCATGAGGCATTCATCTTGCGAGAGCCCAACCAGTGAGAGCCTGCCATGGAAGGTTGGGAGAGGGTCGTGGTCAAGGAGCAGTGGACTGGTGTGTGTTTTCCCTCCATCTACACGTACACAAAGAAGTCCCAGAGAAAGGGTGATGAGCGATACCCAAACGGGAGGTTGGCAGGGTCCCTTTCGGTGTCCACCTTCCCCTGGTGCTCAGCAGCTAACTAACCTGTGTGTTTATCCTGGCCTTTGCCCTACTCTCTGCCTTCCTTCCCTTTTTCTCCTCTCTCAGAGGTGTTGCAGACCAGGCCGGCTTACCCATTTTGTTTCAGGTCTCTGGCGAATGAGAAGACTCCAACTCAACTTCCTTTCCTGAGCGCTGAGCCTTCCCCCTCCCTATCTCTCCTCTTGCCCCCACACCCAAGTAATGTTTCGTTACCAAGTTTTCTAGGCTAGATGCTGAACCTTCCTGGACTCTGCTCTGGCGCCTGTTTCCTGTTTCTCTCCCTTCTCTTCCTTGACCCTGCCTCCCCTTCCCTTCTGAACTAGCTCTCCCCACAAAGATGGTACTCCCGTCAAGAGAGACTCCCCCAGTGTTTTCCAAACTCGAATTTTAAAACACATGCATATTTACAGTTCATTTGGGGTCTTCACTCTTTACCTCCCTTCTTTAGAACTCAGTCTTCTCCATTTGCCCTGTGAATAACATCTAAGAACCTGGGAAGGAATTGGTTATTTCCTGCTCATAACATGTGACTTAAATGTGAGAGAACAGTCTCCCTCTGCCTCCAAGGCTCTAGTATATTCAGAAATGATTCTGGGAAGCCAACAAGAAAGCCATAATTTCCAGCTGACCCTCACCTGACCCACACCATGGCCAACCTCTTCTTCTCCAGTCTGGCTGTCCAAAGTCTCCGCCGTGGCGTTTCTGTTTTCTTTTGGCAGAAATGCCTGGGAACCGAGAGGCCCCTTTCCCTGTGACCTGACCTCCCACACTAAGAATAACAGCCCTAGGACAGCATGTCTTGCGATCCCTCTGGAAAGAGGGCATGGCTGGGAAGTGGGGAAGTTCAGGGAGCTGGATAGAGTCAGGAGGAAATGGAAGAACACAGACTCTTGGCTCTTGTGAGTAAAAAATTAAAAGGGAAAGTTGGCAGCCTTCAAGAGAACTGGGGAAAGAGGCCTGGGAAAGTCTCAGAGGACCCTTAATGCTTTCATACCCACTCCCCAACCTCTAGAATCCCAACTCCTGGAAGGCCCAACTAGTGGCTCAGAGAATAGGAAAATGCTGGTCCTACCGAACAAATGTAACCCAGCCCTGTCTGGTCTCCTTTGCAGAACATTCCCTGAAAAAGTGAAGAAGCAAATGTCCTTTTCTTAAGGAGACAAGTACCTTTAGTACGAGGTCCTTTCCTTTCCATTCCTGAGGAATATGACTGTCCTATTCCTGGGGTTACCCGAACTGTGAGCCTGTACCTCCATGTGGCCACAGGGCAGTGCTCTCTAGACTCCCACACCTCTCAGAGAGGCAGGTGATCCAGACCCAAGACACCTGTCCACTCTGTGACAGGTCTGCCCTCCTGGGAATCCTGGAATCCTCTAGGAAATCTGGGACAGCCTATCCCTTTGTTGACTAGTTATCCAAGACCTCAAAAAAAAGTCTTTCAAAAGCATCTCTTCCCTTCTCCAAATATGGCAGAACAGAAGTGAAATCTAAGTGTACAGGGTGAAGTGGTGAAGTCAGGACGCTGGTCTTACCCCCTCGGTGCCATAATCGCTCTTCCATGGCACGACTGCCTCCACTCCCTTCCTGCAAAGTCTATGTCCCCATACTCTCTACCCAGACTCCCCCTATCAATCCAGTTCTCGGGCTTTGATAATTTCATTCACGTTGGGTGGCATTTGCATGTCAACAGGGACTCTACATCAAACTAGTAGACGTTAGGAAAGGAACCTAGGGGAGGTGCGTAGGAGATGCCCCCGAAAGCACTGCCTGGGACACTACTGAACTGTAAGATTTACCTGGACTCTGTCTCCTTTCAGTTCATAAAACCTTTGCCAGGTCAGAGCTGTCCCTGGAAATACCAGGGCATGTCCAGTGCTGGAACAGGGGTGACCCTGATTCTAACTGCAAAGAGTCCAGCATATTATAGGTATTGTTTTAATGATTCAATCCTCTTGCTATTGCCAAGCTTTAGATGAGTCACCGCTGAGCCCCAATGACCTGGCCACCCTTCTGGACCACACTGCTGTGGTTTTCAGGGTCTTTGGAATTCCCAGATCATCCATAGGACCACAGCCCACTCACCTCGAGGGGGGTCACACACCTGTGTCCCTCCCTGACTCTAGAAGGGTTCCTCTGATGGAGGAGACCAGGGGGCATAGGAGACGCTGAGTGGGGACTGACAAGAAAGTCCAACCATGTCCCTGAACCACTGTGACTCACACTGCCTGCCCCCCATGTCCATGCCTGCCCCCTTCCCTTGCCCCGGTGGGAAGCAGAAAGAGCCTTTGTGCAGGAGGGTGGTGAGGTGGGATGGATCTGGAGGAAGGGGTGGCCATGTGACCAGGGGAGGGCAGGGCAGGAGGATTGGACCAGCCGCCTCCCGGCCACCCGCTTCCCTCTTGGGCTCCTGGCCACAGTACGGGCGTTCACAACTCCAGCAGCCACACTGAGGTGCCTGGACGGTGATTCTGATGGTGATGTTGCTCTGTTCTTGTCTGTCTAATATTCCTTTTTAATCCCCATCCTGCCTGCCCCTCCCTTATGTAGGGTTACTTTAGTGATCCCTGGAATGTTTTTGACTTCCTCATCGTAATTGGCAGCATAATTGACGTCATTCTCAGTGAAACTAATGTGAGTATGACTCTGCCCTCCCCAGGAAGCCTCCTCCTTCCTCCTCTGCCTCCTCTCTTTCCCCTTTCTCTCACTCGCTCTCTCTTTACCTCCTTTTATTTGTTTGGTTTTTTAATTTCCTGTTTTTACCCCCCTCCAGTCATGCTTTTTATTGAAACTGCCGTCGTCTGTGGGGGGAAAAAAAGTGGGAGCTTCTCCTCCTTTTTTTCTGCTTGGCCCAGCTCTGCCCCGCTGCACTAGGCCCAGGGGCCCGGAGCTGAGCGGAGGGGCAGGCGCGGGGGGCTGCCCGGCCCCCTCCCCGGTGGCCCCAGCCCAGCGGAACCTTGGTACTAACCCAGCTTTTGTCAGGCCTCTCCGCCCTGTGAGAACCAGGTTGCCCAGGTTTGAGCCGCCAGAACTGTAGAGTGGTAAGAGAGTATTTAATATGCCCACGTAACCTCTTTCTTTTCTCATTTTTTTCTCTTCTCTCCTTTCTTTCATGCTTTTTTTTTTTTTCATTTTTTCCTCTTCCTTTTTGTTTTGTTTTTCTCCTTTGTTGTTGGTTTTTTTTTTTTTTCTCTCTTCTCTCTCTCTCTCTCTTTTCCTCGGCTTCTCTGCCCCATGCAGCACTATTTCTGTGATGCATGGAATACATTTGACGCCTTGATTGTTGTGGGTAGCATTGTTGATATAGCAATCACCGAGGTAAACGTAAGTACATGGCGTCTGTTCCTAACTGTCCGTGCCTGCTCTAACACTCATTTGTCTTTTCCCCGGCTCATTTTTTTTCTTTATTTTATTTTCTCCTCCCCACCTCCTTATTTTCATTTTGTTTATTTTATTTGTTTGTTTAAATTGGTTTAAAGGATTTTTTTTCCTTGTTGCTTTATTTTGAATTTTTCTGTTTGTTTTTGTTTTGTTTTGTTTTTAACTTTTGGAACGAGTTAGGCCTCCCCTTTCCTTTTAAGTTCTGATTGCTGCATCTTTTCTCTCTCCCGTTCCACTCAGCCTGGCATGACTCACACTGTATAAGAGGATGCAGCTATGGGAGCCAGAGAGTGCCAGAACGAGGGCATATTTACAACCCCTGGGCCACGTCTGGGGCAGGGACCGAACCCTCTCCTCACCCCCACCTCCAGACTGCTGCCTTACCCTGTCTTCCCTTCACCCCCATGGCACCTTGGAAAGGAGCTCTCTCCAATTGCGCCCCCCCCCAAGTTAAGGCTTCGACTTTGCATCGTGGCCCCAAGGACCAGCCCTTTCCATTCACACTGTAAGGAGGGGCTCTATTGCCATTTTAGCATCAGCAGCCCGTGCGGGCAGCGCAGCTCCCCAGGCTCGTGTGGGAGAGAAGAGGAGAACTGGCCATGTCGGAACTCCTGTCGGGATCCCGCGTCTCTGGAGTGGCCGAAGAGCCAGGTGGCTGGGTGGTCCGCCCGGAGCTCTTCCCGGGGGCAGGGACCTTGCCTCCCACTCGCTGTGGAAGCAGCCTCTGGATGAGCACCTCACTCCCACGTGAAGCTGCCCAGAGAACTGAATTTGGCACCTGCCCAGTTCTCTCCCACCCCCCAAGCCCCTCACTACCCTGCCCCCCGGCTCCCTGGCCTCAGACGGAACCCCCGCCCCCCGGCCCCAGGCCTCCTGCCATCTTCTCCCGAGCTGTCTCCTCCTATACAATTCCTTCCAGTCCCTGCACATGTCTTTTTGTTACCTGGCATGTTGAAACCTTCTCTCTTTATCTATAGGCAAGCCCTCTGGCGGTTAGTCTTTAACATGTGTTGTTTAATTTTTTTGTTGTTATTATTTTTCCTTAATTAAGAGACTTGGTAATGTTTGCACAAACCTTTGATGCACCGAACCATCGAATAACAGCACGGAGCTGACGCTGTAGAGTTTTGATCTAAGATGTTTGAAACTACCCTACCAACTGCCACCATCCCCTACTGCATCCGTACCCTCCCCCTGCCCGCTCCGTATTTTGCCCCCAGTCAGTCCAACTGACATGTTATCCTATCTGCCTGATTCCCCTGTCTAGAAGCCCGTCTGCCCTCCTTCCAGCACATGGACGTTGGAAGGAGCCTGTTGCGCTTCCCTCCCTCCCCCCTCCCATCGGCCTCTTGCACCCTCCCTGCTCACACTATAGCTATAGATTTGATGGCCCTCTGTCTCTGAGATCCCCCTGGGTTGTCTTTGTCTCCTGCTGTGTGTGTATGTGTGTGTGTGCGCGTGCCTGCCTGTGCGTGTGTGTGTGTGTATACACACTGTCCCTTGACTTCTCCCAGGAAAACATCAGATCATTAAAAAAAAAGTCCATCTTCCTACTCAGGCTCTGCACCTCCCCCCCCCCAGTGCCCCTCCCGACCCCACCTCACCTCACCACTCTGAGCACACTCTGGGCTTTTCAGTCCGGGAGCCGTACATTGTACAATGTCAGGTGCTATTCAGGGCCAGGAGTCACCCCCGCACTTCTAAAGGCAGGCACCTTTGTGCTTGGAGCTCAAACTGCTCTCAACTGAAGGAGCATTAAGGGGGGGAGACGGGGAAGAGATGGAGGGTATAGGTCCATACGAATCTGAGCCCAGGAACTGGGAGCCCAGGGGCAGGAAGATGCTGGAAGGTGACAGCAAGCTGCTCCCCTAGATGCAGTCCCGAGGTTGTGAGGGGGTCCTTTGTGGTTCTCACCGTTGGCAAGACCTATTTCACTCAACCTGCCATTTTCACCCAAACTATTGGTGTTTTTAAATGAAAAACAAAGCAAAAAGAAAAAAGTCACTAGGGTCTAAAATTTCTACCAAAGAGTGGCTATGTGGGGATAGAGAGGGAGTGTGCAGGGCAAGAAAGGCGCATGAAATCATCCTGCAGACCCTTATGTTTGTATAATGGTTTTCTATTTACAATTCACCTGTGCATAAATTTATCTCAGGTAACTTTTAACTGCCCTGTGAATTTGACAGGCAAGAATTATCATCCCCAATTTGCTGACCCTAAAGATGCTGATGGAGAGATTTAAATGTCTTTCGGAGCCACACAGCTGGAACCCAGTCCTCCTGGTATGGCCCGTTCACTTTGCCCTGGGCCAGAACTCCTGTCTCTTCAGTCCAAGATGCCTTTAACAAACTCATACATCTCACATAACCCCCTCAAGTGTACTCCCCCTAGCCAGGATTTGTTCAACCCTTACGTTCTGTAATTTATATTTTCAGTAACCACACAGGTTCTTTTCCCATTTTCAAAACAAAAAATTGTGTATCAGACCACCTTAGAGTTCTGATACACCTCTAACTCGTCCAGCCTCCCTCCATCCCATGCTGAGATTCTCTTCACTCCTCCAGACTGAGCAATTAGTTAAAAGTCATACTGAAGGGTTGTCTGGGGATTAAATAGGGACAGTGTGTGTGCTGGACAACAAGAGGAGGTGTCCAGAGACCCGGCGCACAATGAATATGGCTTCTGAACAAAGAGAATAACCATAATATCACCCAAGTCCAGGAGGCAGTGTGGGAGAGGACGTCAGAACTTCTTCCTGGAGAAGTTAGCAAAATGTCCGAAGACTTTGTTTCCTCATCCGTCAAAGGAATGGTGATGATATTTCCTGCAGTGTGTTTTGAGGCTGAAATAAGAGCGTCTATTTTACTGGAAAGCACTACTGAGTGGGAGAGACTGTGGCACCCAAGCAAACGACGTGTTTTCCACAACCCCTACTGGAAGAGCTGGGAGAGCCTCGTCTCCAACCAGTTATATCTCAGTATAACTTACTGCCCACAGACCCTGTGAAGGCCCTTAATTTCCTGGATATGGTTAGACTCTGGAATATGGTCTACAGGTTCAGCCAGATGAAAGTAAGCACCGAGTATTGATCACTGTGCACAACCCAAGCCTCAAGAGGCCCGCTCAAGCACAGTCCTGCGCGACCCTGCACTCAGGTAGCAGCCAGTATGGTGGATGACAAACTAAGCAGCAGTGATGCCTAGTCTCAGAGGTAGGTCCCTCCCTCACGTGGCTCTGCCTTCAGGTCACCAGCAGCTTCTGGTTCTGGACGCTCCCTGGCGTGAGGAAGTTCACAGCGCCAGGGTGGTTTCCCAGGGTGCTGCTCTAGGCCTTCCCAGAATGTTCTAGTCACACTGTCATCACAAGATATCCGTTCCCAGACATATGTTCTATTTGGCAGGAATCCACACTTTTAGCCTCAGAGGAATCCATGAGGGCTTTTCACCTGTCACTCAGCATCTTTGGCTCTTTTAAAACTACAGAAATCAACTCTCGTTTCCCTCACCAAATCCCGTATTTATTCCAACTGGCCTCAAACTCTCCCCGCATTTATACTCTTGTCCCTGCAAATGCCTTCTCTTTCCTCCTCGCCTTCACTACGTAGGCCGTGGTGTCCGCCTCCCTCAGGAAACAGGTTCTCCACCCATCCTGGGCCATCACTTCTTCATTCCACTGTATTTATGGTCTCACTGTCTGTGTGTGTCAGGCACTATTTCAGGCACCTAGGATACATCGGTGAGCAAAACGAAAGCCCCTTCCTTCTGAGCTGGCGTTCCAGGGTAGGGGGAAGAATCAGACGACGAGCCATACATCTCGGAAATAGGAATATACAGTGTGCTAAATGGTGATCCGTGCTTTGGAAAGAATTGTGCCACATTAGGGGGATCAGAGGTGCTGGGGACAGTGAAGACAGGCGCGGTGTCAGTAAGACAGGCTTTCCTGAGGAGGGGACATGTGCACGCAGTACAGATGTGAAGGCAGTGAGGAGTCACGGTGCAGGTCTCTGGGAGAGGAGCTTTGGGCCAGGAGCAGCCACAGTGAATGGCTCACACGGAGCAGAGAGGGAGAGAGGGGGTGGGACAGGGGCCCAGGTTCTGGCTTGTATATGGAGCAAGAAGGGGAGACACTGGTGCCTTCGAGAAGAGCTGTCCCACGATCTGACGCATTTCCACAGGACCACCTTGCTGTCTCTAGGAGTCAGGGGTGGAAGCCCAAACACCACTCAGGAGGCAAACATGGTAACCCAAGTGGGAGGCTAGGGTAGCTGGCGACAGAGCAGGAGCATGAGAAGTGGTACAAAATGGTCAGATTCTCAAGCTGGTTTGAAAATAGAACAGTATCTCCTGACAGACGGGATGTGGGTGTGGGAGGAAGAGGCGTCCGGGATGGCCAGGGGGTTGGGGCCTCAGCAGTGGGAGGATGGAGGTGGTATCCACCGGGAAGGACAGCAGGTGAAGCAGGTTCGCGTGAGAAAGACAGGAGCTCAGTGAGGACGTGTCTCCTCGACCCACCAGTAGAGATGTCAGTGAGACCGATGTTATGCAGAGCCACGAGCAGCGGTGAAGAGCACCACGAAAGGGAGAAAGACAAAGGAGAGACGAGGACTGAGCTGGGGCCTCCAGCATGAAGAGGGCAGGACCCTTGTGCTCATGGCCACCCTGTGGCTGACTTTCTGTGAGCTCTGGGAGATGCCTGTGGACAAATGGCAGATGTAACTCAAGGCAGATTGTGAGTCCCCACCTTGTGTCATTACGATAAGTTCTGCTTCCATGCCCGGGGGTGCCCTGGCCGTGGCCCTTCTCCTCCCCGAGGAGTTGCCTTGTTCTCTGGCTGAGGTTCCCCTTCCTTCATTTGCCCTCTGGTGTTCCTTTGTTTCTGGGGTCTGAAATGATATTTTCCACAGGGAAGACCCAAAGAGGTAACCCCTGTGATTGTTAGTGGAA